ACCTGTGTCCTACCCCCCGCCCAGCAGAACGCAGACGCAGGGCCACATCCCTGCTCACCAGGCCCACGGGTCGCCCGCCCCCCACAGAAAACACAACTGCCTTCTAGACTGTCCCAGGAGGCACGCAGACAGAAGGGTGACGGCCTCTGCCCGTCCCCAGAGTCCCCCCAGCCCCCTGTGCTTGCTGGGAGAACCAAGGGCAGAGGACACCAAAGAAACGGCTCTGGTTCTGGCCACGGGTGGGAGGTGCCTTTAGATACCCGGATGTGACTGTGCCCACGCGGGTACACAGCCAGCCAGAGTGCGGACACACGCCTGGGGCACGCACCACGGGCTCCGGGCTGCGGGGCCTAGAGGAAGTGCGCACGCCCCCCGCGGAGCCGGCCCCAGAACATCAAGGTGCAAACAGGTGACAGAACCGAGGGAAGTACTCACCTGGGTCCCCAGGGCGATCAGGGGGCTCGGGTGCGGGTCCTGTGGGGAGAGAAGGAAAGACACGTGAGTGAGGGGGACGTCCCCACCAGAGCGAAGTCATTTTCAAACAAACAAAGCCTCGTTTCTCCAGCTCTTGGCCCCGGGGAGGGAGGGGGCAGCCCTGGCTACAGGGAGGTGACAGAAGAGCTGGGCCAATCCGCCACCCCCCACCGTGGCACTGTCACCAAGCATGTCCCCGGGTGTTGGGGTCCTCGGGACAAAGGAGAAGCGGGTGGCAATGCCTCGGGGTCCTTAGGCAGGACCTCTGAGGGCTGGCGGAGGGACCGGGGAGGGACAGAAGGAGGAAGGCACCGAGGAGGGCAGGCGGTGGCGGTGTTCAGCCCGGGGTTTCCGAGGAAAACAGGAAACAGCGCACAAAGGCTATTTCTGTTTGCCCTGCACAGAACCATCTCGGGGCCTCGATTCTGGGAACAGGGCCTCTCGAGCCGTGGCTTACAGAGAGCCGCCTGGTCCTGGGGCCCCGAAGCAGACAGACACCCACTTTGGGGCTTGGCTTTATCCTAGCAGACTTCCCGAAGCCGGCTTCTAGGAAACCTTGCAAATTAGCACCCGCCCAAGGAAGTGAGGGGAAGGGGAGCCCTCTGCACCCCGAGGCTCCAGCGGAGCGGCCCCTGCTTTCCTGATCCCTGTCCCGTCACCTCTTTACTGTGATGCCTGACTCAGGCGGGTGTCAGGGCCAAGGTCATGGGCACAGGTGGAGCTCTGGCCTCTGCATCCCCCATCGCAGGCTGGGGTCCAGTTCCCAGTGCCCCCCCACCCCACCCCGGGGCAGCCCACAGGATGGACGTTCTAAGAGAATCTCCTCTTCACACGCCAACAGGCCTCAGACCCAGGAAAACCTCGAGGGGAACTTTTCTGTCCCCTCCTTCCCCGAGGGCCAAGTGGCAGCTGTGCCCCGCGGAACCCAACATCCCCTGAGCCACTTTTGGGGGGTGAGTGGGCCCAATGGCTCCCCTTCCTGGGGCCCCCACCAAGCAATTCCACGGCCGCTCACAGGCAGGAGGAGGGGGCCCGGCAGGGTCCCTGGGCGTAGCAACCGGCCCTAGTTTCACCTTCAAGGGGCAAGATCTTCCTGTCTGTGGCCGGTGACCTGCACCAGACCTTGGGTAGCCCACCCAGGGAGCGCCTGCTAACCCTCCCCTCCCCGGGTCCGTCTGTCCACTCGGATCCCACCATCTAGATTTCTGATTAGGAAAAATAAGAAACTGCATCTCAGCCACGAAATTAGCCTCCATCCTCAGAGCCAGCTCCTCGCAGAGCACGGCTCCGGGGGTGTTGGGTGCACGCCCAGATTAATTAAGCTGTACTTCACAGCTCATTTGGCTATTGTTTGGGGCTTACGCTTCACCGCTCCGGAATCGGGGAAGAACACCACACTGAACCCCCTAAGAACCTCGCTGGAAAAAGAGCGTCCCCTGGGAAAGCCAGGGAAAGACCGGTCAACCACATGGACCAAACGGACGGCCTGGTCCCTGCACCCAGCTCTTTGATTTGCTGTTCCAAAGGGAGATGCGAGACCCCCCATCTCGCGGGGTGGTTCAGGGTGCACGATTTATTTAAAAGCTTCTGGAGGACCCGAGCGCCGGCACTGCCCACTTAGCATCCTAATTAACGAGGGCGGGAAGAGGATGCGGTGCTCCCCGGAGCCCCGTCACTCACACTTAGGACTCGCTTGCCAGGGAAATCTGGTTGCGCACCTTGGAAATGCGAGACTCTCCCTAAAGAGGCTCGGGCCCCAGGATTCGAGGTAGGGCTCTGCAGTCTGCGGAGAGGTGTCACTTTCAGCAACATCCTCCTTAATTGGAAAGGTTAACGAAGCGGAACTGGGTCAATGATGCCGGCTGCCTGATCCATCCTGTCTGTCTACATTGGGGCTCTCTGGGTTACAGTCGAGTAAATTCCTGTCTGTCAGAGGAGGGCTCCTCCCGGGGCTCCAGGGGACAATCCGCACCGCGCCCGCTGGCCACAGCGGAGAGGCTTCTGGAATCTTCATGCTACCGAGACCAGGGAAGGGCTTTTACCCCCCACCCACTGCCATGAGTGGACTGGGGGAGTCCAAGAGGGAGCCAGGGAGACGGACCTGGGGGCCTGACCTCTCCACAGCGCCCCACAGCCTCTGCTCACGGGACTTGGCGACCCCTGGGCTTGGCCACGCGATTGGCTCAGTCCCATGGGGCATCCTCGGATGGTGACTCAAGCCGAGGCCCTGAAATCCACCTGACCTTCACCTGTTGTGTCTTTGCCACCACAAGAACGTGACCCCCGTGGGTGGCCTGCTGGTCCCGGGAGGATGAGAGCCCCGTGGAGCAGCCTGGAACCCACCTGCAGCCGGAGCCGCGCCCAGCCCGGGGCAGCCGACCCCGCGCACCTTCCCCGCACGGAGAAAACGCACGCTGCTTGCTGTTTGGACCCAGAGTTTGGGGTGATTTGTGCAACAGCATTATGGTGGCAGTAACTAAAGGATACACTTTCCAAACACGGGATGGAATGTATTTTCCCACGCCCTCAACGACACAAACGCCTGCAGGTGCATCCCAGAGAATGGAAATAACTGTAATGACCAGCTCTTCCCTACCCGGGGGCCCACGGAGCGCCGGCTGTGTGCGACTGCACCATTACATCAAGCAAGGGCACCCTTGTCCATGGGGATTGGGTTTCTGGCAGTACTGGGGGTTGAACCCCGTTCAATGTCTGCGCTAAACGTGCGGCTCCTCTTCTGCTTGGACGTCACCGAGGCGCTGGCTCTTGGGTGTTAGGCAGTGGCGTTGGGGTGGAGGTGACAGTCCTGCCTCGGGCCTTCTGAGTCTGCTGCACAAGGCCTGCAGAATCTGTGGGTCCCTGCAGCACACGCTCAGGCCCGGACACCCGCAGGAGCCACATGGAAGGGACAGAATATAAATGCAACGGGGACAGAAGGAGCAAGTTTCCACTGTCAAGACACTGGGTCAGAGCCTCTCTCCTCGGCCTACAGGGGGCCCTTCTCCCTGGGTCCTCCCCGTCTAGGAGGCTCCGGGTGTTTAGGTCTTTTTATAAGACCCCCCCACCCAGGCCGACTCATCAGGGCCCCCGTCACCGACCCATTTTAACTTAGTCGCCTCTTAGAGACCCCGTCTCCAGGCGTAGCCCGTTCTGAGGGCCTGGGATTTGGGGTTTCACCACAGGAAGGGGGTGCACAAGCAGCCGCACGCGCAGGCTGGAGACCTGTGACCCCAAACGGCTCAGCTGCTGCGACTTTGCTTCTCTCGTTGATGCAATGGTTAGAGGTGAGGCTGGCTCAGAGGTTCAGTGCCCCTGAGTTCCGTCCCCAGTACCCCTCACCCCCCAAAAAAGCTTCCATGTTTTCATTCTCGCAAGCTAACGAAGGCCGAGTCACGTCCTCTCCACTCAACCCTGCTGAAGCACAGTCGGCTCTCCCTGCAAGCTCCTGCAGACACTGGCTGACCCTGTCTCCCCCGACGGCGGTGGAGCGGGTAAAGGTGGCTGATTCCGTTTGAATGGACACTCTGTGCCAAGCGCATGCGATACGGCCGCCCCGCCAAGGGAGGGATCGTGCTTCCCATTTTTGAGATCAGATAACGGAGACTCGTGGACGAGAACTGGATCAAAAACGCAGGGCTCAGAAGGGGCCGAGCTTGGGGCAGTGAGCAGGTTTGGAAGTTTCCAGAAACTGCTCTCCTAACAGTATCCTGGGTGTTCCTCAAAGTCTGAACCGACTGAGTCGGAGTCTCCGTGCAAGGGTCCAGAGAATCTGGATTTTTATTGAATTCCCTTGGGCCGGTCCGATGTACACCAGACCCAAACCTGGAAGCCCCGACCCTGTGCCATGGTGATCCAACACCCAAAGGACCCAGATGACAAAGGACAGGCTCCTTCCGTGGAGAGCCGGCCACCAAGTCAGAGGGTCACACAGTGGGGTCCTTTCTAGATGCCCCCCGGGAAGTCCTGGTGAGCATCTCTCACGTGTCGGTGGCTGCGAGATGCCGGCTGGGCGCGTGCTCGGGAGTGCCCAGGGTGCTGGGGACCGCCGCCCGCCACACAGAGCGCCCTTTGTGGTCTGAGAAGAGTGCGTCGGGGAGGCGACCGCAGGCCAGGATTGCTAACTCACCTTCCAACAGAGCTCAGGGGAGAAAACTGAGCCCCAGAGAGAGGCCCAGCCTTCCCAGCGCCCGGGAGCCCAGGCCTGTGGGCCGAGGCCCTTTCTCTGGCTGGACTTGTCTCCCTCGTTAGTATTTCACATTCCTTCCGTATTTTTAAGCCTAAACCCCAGAAAGGATCCACAGAACCTGCACGTGAAGCTCAGGTCTCCGGGGCTGGTGTTTCAATCACCCACAGCCTTGGAAACTATGAGAAGCCACAGATACGTGGAAACTCGGGCATTATTTGACTGATTTCACAGCTTGGTGTGTGTATCCTGGAGCACAAATGATCCCCCCAAATCTCAACCACTGGATCTAACATTTTGTTCTGTATGTGCTTCAAGAGGTTTTATAACTCAGTACATCTGTCATCCCAGCGGCTCGGGAGGCTGAGGCAGGAGGATGGCAAGTTCAAAGCCAGCCTCAGCAAAAGCAAGGTGCTAAGCAATTCAGTGACACCCTGTCTCTAAATAAAATGCAAAATAGGACGTGGCTCAGGGGTCAAGTGCCCCTGAGTTCCATCCCCAGTATCCCTACCCCCTCCAAAAAATACACAGATTAACAATCCTCTGAACTGCAAGGTTCTGAATACCCTCTGCCTGAAAGATTAGAGGCTGGAGATATTAAATGCCGTGGGAGGCCTGTGGATGTTTCCAGCTGCTTGAGTTTTGGCCTGTGGCATTGACAAAATATTTGAAATCATTGCCAGTGTTTTAAATTCAGGTTATGTCACGTGCAGATCTAGATTTCTCACTTCTCTTTTGAAAAGCAGAAGATGGAGCAAAGCTGGCGAGGCCCGTGCCCGGTGCCCGGCTGCTGCAAGCAGCTGCATGTGTCACACCCACATTGATACTTGCCTGAGGTCACATGGGTGGTCAATATTCACAACTGTCCGAATACTAGCCCGTGGTTAGGCTCCTCCCGAATGCAAAGCATTATTGTCAGCAGGCAGTAAGTAGTATCTCATTTAAACACCACGCCAAACGTAGGGTGTCGGTATTAATAGTCTCCTTTATGCACATGATGAAACTGAGGCTTGGAAGAGAACCAATGTGCTCCATGTCATTCGTCAGTAAGTGGCACAGCCAGGACTTGGACCAGAGTGGCCCGTGGACACACTCTTGGATCATGATGGGACAGCGGGTTCTCAGTAGTTCAATCCCGGTGGGACTCGCTAAGCTACGGTTCAGTCGATGAGCTGGCAGCACAGGAGAACGAGGGACCTCGGGATTGGATCAAATGTTCCTAATGCCATTTCCCTGCTGGGGGTCTCCACGGTGGTGACTGAACGGACACCCCCCACCCCCAAACCCAGCACCCCCCTATCCCATCTAGGTGCTGGCTAGTCAGTCCCCAGTACCCCTCACCACACCAACGGTGCGCTCCCAGTGCTTCTGAAGGTGGCCACAGGGCTGTTCGGACACTTGTCTTCCTGGGGCTGGGGACAGTAGCCACATCTCGGGCTCAGCCCAATGACCCACGTGTCCCAGGCAGGGACTGCAGCACCCGCCAATTTTGCTCCCTGTCGCTATGGTCATCAAGACGGGGGCAGGTGGCCCAAGTGTCCCCGAGACACCGGCTGGGATTCCAGGGACACTGAGCCCTGTTCTGTGGCTTCTGGGACTACGGGGTGTGTCTGCTGCTCCACGAGGACTGGTTCAGAGCTGAGCTGCAGAATCCAAGGTCAGATAGAAGAAGAAGGGACTTGTGCAAGTCTGCAGCTTCTTCCCGCTACGGGACCCAAGGGGACGCGGAGAAGCCGTCGCTTGCCCTCCAAGATGGCCGCAGGAGCAACAGGCCAATGGATCTGAGTTTCCTGACGAGATGCAGCCTCTCTCCGTCCCTGACTGGAATCCAGCCCCGTGGTTTCTGGGGGAGCCCATGGGACCCAGGGGGCAGCCGCCCGCCCTGCAGGCTGCACACGGTTCAGGGCAAAGCTCACCCGAAACCCAGTGTCCTCTCCCCGAGTCCTGGGTTCGCCCCATTTGGCCAAGACAAGGTCCCCAGTGCCTCCCTCTCCCTCTTCTCTGAGAGCCGGTGACCGGGACGTCTTCTGTTCCAAGGACACTGGATCCCAGCGCTGGGAAAGCTGAGGCGTCCTGCCCACGCCAGGCACGTCTCCAGGAGACCCCACACAGACAGCACGGCCAAGGCCACCGGGTGGGGGACCGTCCCGGGCAGCCAGGGGGGAGGGCAGCTCTACACTCAGGCTGTGCCTGTGAGGTGCTGGGGACATGTGGCTGTAGGGACACATGTGCTTCCTCTTGACAGAGTCAGGATGAAGGCGGGGGCCTCCAGGAGGTCCCCAACGCCCCCCCTACATTTCCTCCTCAGTGACAATGGCCACCGTGAGAGCTGCCGTTGACGTCCAGGTGAAGCACTGCAATTAGCAATTGTGCGCATTACTTCAACATCTTCCCGGGGATCCCGGCCAGGCTCTGGCTCAAGTCTGGAAACGGGGACGACTTCTCTGGATGCTCTTGCTGTTGGGAGGCGCTCTGGGTACCAGGAGGCATGTGCCTGTTCGCAAATTACAGACGCCCCCTCCCTCGCTCACAGACAAGGAAACCGAGGCTCACGGAATTACAAGCCTTGATCCAAAGTCACAGGGCCGGGCCTGTCTCACCGTCACCAAAGGAACCTCGACACGTGGATGCGGAACAGTTGGACAAATGCCGCGGGATACGCGGTCATCATTTTCTTTTTAAAACCAGTTGCCACCAGGAGCTCGGGAGGCTGAGGCAGGAGGATTGTGAGTTCAAAGACAGCCTCGGCAACTAAGCCAGGCCCTAAGCAGCTCAGCGAGAGCCCGACTCAAAATACGATACAAAAAAAAGGGCTGGGGATGTGGCTCAGTGGTTAAGGGACCCTGGATTCAATCCCCAGAACCAAAAAAACAAACAGTTGCCAACCCTTAAAATGTCCTCACAACATCCAAATTCATGGCTTTTTCTCCAAATGTCCGAAGATCTGACCAAGTGGGCAGGCAAAGCCCGAGTGGCCACAGCTAGAGCCGGCGGCTTCCCCTTGGAGGTGGACACACGTGCTCAGGTGGCCTCAGCACAGCTGGTCCTGGCCACCTGGGTGGGCTGGGCCCTGGAAGCGTCTGAGCCTGCGACCCCTTCCTGTGTCACCCACCGAGCTTTCCCATGGCCCTTACCAAGACCCCCCCATTCCCCCACTGGACGGCTTCTCCAGCCTGACCCCACCCCCACACCAGCCCCAGCCTGAGGAGGTGACACAGGAAACGGGGAGGCCATCCAGGGGCAGGTTCAGGGCCGGGCATCCCCGACGGGCTCCAGGCTGCGCTCATCGCCTTGACTCGGGAGCAGGGAGGGCGGTGGGGGAGGGGAGGCTGCAGGAGGAGGCTGCAGGAGGAGGACAGGAAGAGGTCGGGGGCGCCCACGGTTCCCCGCTTCCTGCCCCCGCGCCTGCAGCTGCTCCCCGCTGCCGGCCGCTCTTGTCCCCGCGCCCTCGGAAGGAAGCACTTGACAAGGGAGTTGGCCCGAGGAGCTGGGGACGTGCGCGAGCCCCGGCGTCCCCCCTGCGCGGGGAAGCCCCAGAGACAGGAAGAGGCAAAGAGAGCGGAGGCCGGAGAGCCCCTCGGAGGCCCAGCCGGGGCCAGAGGAAGGGAAGGGAAGGGGGTCGCCGGGCGCACACGGATGCACAGTGAGCCCCTTTCACGGGTGAACAGAGGACTCTCCTCAACCGCGGCTCAATGGCTTTGTGTCTGAAACCACCGACTCTGCACCCAGAAAAGCCACATGGGCCAGACCCCGTGCCAAGGTCAGGAGAAAGAGATCCCCGGGCGAGTCGGCCGTCGGCACCCGGGAGACGGCCACTGGGCTAAGTCCTCTTGGGCTAATCCAAAGGCGACAATGATGCTCTTTGATTTCTAAGCTTTTCTGCACCCGGGGGCGGGCGGGCGGGGGGCCCTCGGCCACAGGAGTGCCAGGCTTGGCACCGCCAACGTCCCCTATTCAGCATAGGAAGCGCTTCTTTCCCAGGAACTTCATTGAGACATCTGTGGGGAGGGGCGGGCAGGATGGGAAAGAACTGGAGGTGCCGGCTAAGCCCAGGGCTCCAGCGGTGTGCTTTCCTGACGGGTGGGAACCGGGAACCGGCCCGGGACCCTGCAGTCACTGCTGCTCGGCGAGCGCCCTGGGAACGTGGCTTTGCAGAGGATTTTTAAATTTTTATTTTTTTCTTAACTTTTTGTAGAGGTGGCAAACGCCCGCAGGGGCCAAGAAGTGGTATTCAGCTCAATTCGGCTGCATTCAGCTTGTGCGGTGTTTGGAAAAGCAAAAATAAAAATGCTACACCCAATGGCGAGGCTGGAAGTTTCACCTAAAACGACAAAGTTGTAGCATTTCTTTGGAAAAGCGCAAGATCTGACAGCGAGAACGTGGAGGCACAGCCCCCCGGGTGGGGGAGAAGCCGTCCCTCTCCAGGGGCATGTGCACCCCGCTTGCCACGCCGCCTTCTCTTTACGGCTCCTGCAGGCACCGGGCGGCTCACCTCTGGTCTCATGGGTCCCAAGCCTGACGCAAAGGCCGAAGGAGCGGGGTTCAGAGAAAAGTGGACGTGGGAGCCTGGAGACCGCAACGCACACTTGGCCACGGAGCCCACGGAGCCCACGGAGCCCACGGCTGTCCCGAGATGAGTACACAAGCTCACACCCAGGAACACCTGGCCAAGGCCTGTTCCCACCAGGAGGGCTGGCAATCCTGTGTGCCCGTCACCCTCTGTCACGCAGGGCCACACTTTGGAGATGTTGTAGGTCCAGTTCCAAAGCACCACAGTAAAACGAGTCAATACAGTCTAGGGGGCGGATACGAGGGATTGAGCCCAGGGGTGCTTGACCACTAAGCCACCACCTCCAGTCCCTCCTTTATTTATTTATTTATTGACAGGGTCTTGCTAAATTGCTGAGGCTGGTCTCAAACTTACAATCCTCCTGCCTCAGCCTCCCAAATTGCTGGGATTACAGGTGTGTGCGCCACTGTGCCTACTGAGCCAAACAAATTTGAGGTTATGTTTATACCGTGTTCAGTGTCCGATAGCATTGTGTCTGAACAACAGCGTGTATCCTGTACGTTTAAAAGTACAGTATTTTTTAAAAATGCTAATGATCAGAGGCTGGGGTGGTGGCTCAGTGGTCGAGCGCTCGAATAGCATGTAAGAGGCACTGGGTTCCATCCTCAGCACCATGTAAAAATAAATAAAGTCCACCAACAATTAAAAAAAAATTTTTTTTTAAATGCTAATGGTCCTTTGAGTCATTAGGAAAATAAAAGTTGCCAACAGACTCCACACGGGTTGCCTGGAACCTTCAATTTTTTTTTTTTTAAATGCAGTGTCTGCACAGTAAAATAAAGTCAAATGCAATGAAGCAAGGCATTTTGTTATTTTGACAGCTCAGCCTGCTTTCCTGGGGCCAGGGTCTGACATCTTCTTATTTTACGTTTCCCGAAGTCCTGGGGCTGTCATGGAGAGGTCACTGGGTCACTTCTCACTGAACCTCCATTGGCTGGACCTCAAGCCATGTGAGGATGGCACTTAAGAGATAAGTTCTCAGAACCCAGCCAAGGTGTGCGCTGGGGTGGGGGGGCGCAGCTCCCACCGATGCAAGGCGCCCGGGCAAGGCTTCCCACCGGGAGCTTGTGCACCAAGGAAAGGGGCCGAGACGGACCCACGCAGCCTGTTGACTGGCCCAGAGTCTGAGATGAGGCAGCAGAAAGGCTCGTCTTGGGCTGTGTGGAAGACACTGTGGGTGCTGACATCGTTAAAATATGTTCCCAGGGCCTCGTGTGGCTCAGAGGTGCAGGGCAGGAGGCCCTGGGTCAGTCCCCAGCACTGCAAAAATAAAATTTTTCCAACTAAAAAATGTATAAAGCACGTTCTCCTTTTATTAAAGGATGCAAGAGCTCAAAAAAGAACGGCCCTGAGTGTCGGCAGAGGTGACATTTGGCGGTGTTGCCATGTGCAGAGCTGGGATGGAACCCAGGGCCCCGCACACGCCAGGCAAGAGCTCCATCACGGCCCCCCCAGCCCCGGGTGTGGGGTCTTTTTCCTGGAAGCTTTTCTGGGTCTAAGAAGGGGGACTGGGGCTTTCTACCTGGGCAGCTGTGCACACGAGGGCACGTGGTACACACAGGTGCACACGCGTGAGCATCTGCAAGAGTACACAGGTATGCATGCACGGGTGGCCTCTTCCAGCCACCGTCCTCCTACAAAGCAGCAGTGAGAGGGGTCCACTGCGTTTGCCTCGTATCCCTTTAACTCTGGGGACGACCCCTGGGTCACCCCACTCCTGAAACTCATCTCAAATGGCTGCCGGGGTGGGGGGCAAGGGTCAGGTGGGGCTCCACCCAGCAGACTTTGATTTCTGGGCTGGGAGGGAAGCAGAGAAGAGTACAGGGGGAACACGCAGCGCCCCAGCTCCGCCCTCGGCGTCGGTGATTATTCACGCAGCAGCATCTTGAGATGCCGAAAGCGGGGCCCATTACCGTTATTCTGATTTCACATGCTAACTGTGTTTACATGCTGACAGCGTTTCCTGGGGACAATTATCTTATTACTAGGGCACTAATCTTTTCAATCTTTGCAACACAGTTTACAGCTGCAGACTTCAAAAATTAAGGCTAATTAAGACCCTGCTCTCGGCAGGTAGGGCAAAGTACACACGCATTTTTAACAGAGTAAAAGAAAATCGGTTTGGGGAGAGGGTGAGACGGGTTGGGGTGTCACAGTGTCAAAGGTAGAGAGGGGAAATGACGCGGTCTCCATCAGTGGTATCCACGGGGGATTTGTCCCGAGATCCTCTGCAGATTTCAGAATCCCCGGGGGCTCACGTCCCTCGGGTCAGATGGGACAGGATTTGCTTGTCACATACATACTTGGTCCCACGCACGTCAAATCACCCCTAGGTTCCCTGTCACACCCACTACGATAAGAATATGCCCTAGAAATAGTTGTTACACTGTCTTAGTTGGAGAATAATAATAACAATAAAAAAGTCTGTCGATGTGACGACAGACACGTCTACGTTTTCTGACGGTTTTCAATCCCCGGGTGGATTCGCAGATGCGGAACCCACAGATGCGCAGAGCCTCCTCATGCCAGAAAGCGCTCGGCGACTTCTCCTCAGGGCGAGGCCTGGAGATTTCAGCACCAAGGACAGCAGGGGGGGGTCCCCCCCCCCCCAGGAGCCAGTGGAGGTCTGCACTTGGCTCTCTAGTTCCACCCATGGCACCCTTCCATGCAGCCTCCCGGTGGCGGCTGCCGGGGGGAATTCTGTTCCCTAGCACTGCGGTCAAGGGCCGGCTCCATCCATCACGCTCGGTCAACTAGAAGAGTTTACCCGATACCCGGGTGCCTCAGTTTCCCCTTAATACCGACCACCCACAGCATCACGGTTGACTAAATTCATCTTTATAAAGTGCTTGGAGTGTCGGGTTCATAATAAGCATCAGATACGTATTTATTTATTATTTTTTAAATATCTATTGCAAGGCGTGTGGGCTTTGGGAAGGAAGGACAGACTGTGGCGAATGGAATCGCAGCCGCCGTGGGACACACTCTCGACCCCACACCCGCCCACCACGCTGTGAGCCAGCAGGAGACAGTCCTGTGACCTTGCTGGTTCTGTTGGCTTGCCCTGCAAGCTTGCCATCGGCCATATAAGGCCAGCACCTGGGATGATCCATCGTTATTTTGGGTTGGGTTTGAAATTGCAGAGAAGCAGTTGGCTCTTGCTGGGCTGCTGTGGGGACCTGGGTCTCCAGCCCCGCCTCTCAGAGCCAAGCAGGTCTCTGGCACGCCGAGCTCCGGCATCCGGAACCCCTTCTTAGTCTGCCCCAGTCCCTGGGTCACTGAGTTCCACCTGCCATGGCCCTGGCTGGGTGGCCTGACGCTCATCTCCTGGAGCGCTCACACGGATCCCACAGGGCAATGCTGACCCCATGTTACAGACGAGGAAACCGAGGCTTGACACAATACCCCCATGGTCACACGGATTGCTAATAAAACAAAGTCACAACGTGGCCCAGAAGAGTGACATTCTCTCCCCCAGTGATTCCCCGAGCCAGCTGGTTGCATGTCCCAAGATGGTTACTACCCCTGGCATTGCTATCACCAGGACTAATGATATCAACCCTGCCAGCACAGATGTCCCTCTGTGCCAGGCGCTGTTCAAAGCCAATGCCACCGTTAACTCATTTAACCCCCACCCATTCAGGATGGACTGGTATCAGCCATCACTTTACAAATGAGGTGAGTGGGCTCAGAGAGGTCATGCAACCATGCCCAGGTCCCACAATTATAGAATGCTGGAGCCCCAATTTGCCCAAATCTAGGAGACCTGGCCCCAGACACACAGCTGTTGAGCTCTCTTCTCTCCACTCCCTCCTGCCCATCAAATTCAACACCTGCCTCCTTTTCAAAGACGCTACATAAAAGCATCACGACATTATACCATATGACAAGACAGAAGAGAGGCCAATCCAATCCTCATAGGCTACACTACCAGTGACGGGATCCGTTATTTTGTTACCTTTGTGATACATTCTCCCCCAAAAGGAGGGATGTAGGAAGGACAGGCAACTCTTCCAGGGCGGAAGATTGTTCCGGAGCTTCAGGAGGTGAGAAGTAAGGCGGGCTCCCAGGAAAGAGCGAGAATGGACATGTCCCAGGTGGGGAGCGCACGCGCTATGGGCACAAGAAGCTGTAATAATAACAGCCCATAATTTTCGGGAAAGACTGAAGACAGACAGTCTGAATGGAGAATTTGGAGGGGGCGTGGCGTGGGGTGGAGGGAGGTTAGGGAAGAACCTGGATCCCATCTCAAGAGCGGTGGCAGGGAACCCCGGAGGAGAGCAGGGGACAGAGTGGCCGGCTCTCTGCAGGAAGGACGGTCCTGCCACCCAACAGGCCTTTACACAATCAGATCCAAAGTCACCTCCAGGTCCCCACCCTGGAGCCCGCAGGCTGAAGACTTCTAGGACAAGTTTCAAATGATTGCTATTCCCCGTTTTTAGGGATCGTCCCCCAGGGTCAAAGCCACAGGCTCGTGCCAAGTTTCACAAAGCGGAGTTCCGCCCTTGTGACTGCGACAGACTGGGAGGAAAGCAAGAGGTGATGTGTGAGAGCTGACAAAATATCTTTCTGTGTCTAAAAAGGAAAAAAAAAAAAAAGAAATCTCAGCCTGGGCCCGATACAGGTCCGTTGGCGGTTCTGAGTTCTGTGGCTCAAGGAGAACGGCGTTAGCATTGGAGGGTTTTAAGAAATGAGGAGCTAGAACGCTCCCCACCCACACCGCCCACCCCCCACAGAAGGAAACTGCAGGCCGCCTCCTGCAAGCCCCCAGCTCCCGAGCCCCCCTGGGGGCCAGGTCCCTGGTTTATGTCACCCCATGGCTGGCGGGGCCAACGAGGTCCCTATGCTCCCAACAGGGGACAGGAGACACCTGTTGCTACCATCAGGAACATTCCAGGCTAATGAGAGGCATGGGTCACTCTGGCCACTGCACCCGTGGCCATCAACATGTGCAAGCTGAGGACACCTGTTAATGTCACACGCAGGGCAGAAGAGGGACCATGGTTCAGGTCCTGACCTGCGTGACTCTGACCCTTCTGTCACTAGTGGACGTTCCACGGCTCCCCCGTGCTCCCAGCCCTACTGAAGCCCCGAGAAGCCCTTGTTTACTGAATCCCCACGACGTCACCTGAGGCAGGGGCTCGTCTAAGTCCCCTTGTGCACATGGAAAACTGGAGGCTGAGCTCCCCCGGAGAAGCAGGGGGTCTCCATTCACAAAGAACACGGGCACATGGCCCCGCGCTGGTGCCGTCACCGCACCTGCCCGACAGACTTCTGCACAAGACCCCCCTGCACCCCCAAACCACCACAACAATGCAGGAGGTCGGAGAGATGTTGCTCTTTTCTTGTTCATGCAACTTTCTGAGCAGACGTGTGACAAAAAGACTCCAGGCTCCCGGCCCAGGCCAAGCTGGCCCTGCCCGTGGCTGCTGATTACCAGGCCCGTGGCTGCTGATTACCAGGCCCCGTGGTGAATGATGTCACCGGAAACGCGGTCAGCGGTGCTGAGGTGGCACAGGCTCGGCGTTCAAGGACGGGGACTTCGTCTTGGGATCCCGCTGGCTAGGCACAGCCACACACGCCTGTCATCCCAGCAATTCGGGAGGCTGAGGCAGGAGGATCCCGAGTTTAAGGCCAACCTCAGCCACTTAGCGAGGCTCTAGGCACAGGATCAAGACCCTGTCTCGAAATAGAAAATTAAAAGGGCTGAGGATGTACCTCTGTGGGAGGGCACCCGGGGTCCAGTCCTCTGTACCAAAATAAATAAATAAAACAACAGCCCCTCGGCCGGTTGGGTGGGAACCCCACCTTCAGATGCCACACGCTGGGGCTGCACATCCAGAGGCCCAGACGGGAGCCGCTGGAGCCACCAGTGTCCCTGTAAAGCGCCCACAGTACGTATCCCTGGGCACACAGCTAGAGACCCGTGTGCCAGGGTGAGGTGGGCTCTGGACGGCGGTCTGTGCTACCCCTGGGCCTCTAGGGGCTCACCCCTCATGCCCTGGGACGGTGGTACTCAGCCAGGGTGACTGTGCAGTGTCCAGGCACAGGTCTGCGTCTCCCATCTGGAGGGAGAAAATGCTGCTCCCCCGAGGGGCTGGGGGTCAGGGTGGTGCTCAGCACAAAGATGACGCAGCCCAATGTCCACCGCGTGGGGCACAGAAACCCTGGGAAGGAGCTGGGGCCCACCAGGGCCGGCCACGCTGTGCCCAAGTCCTTCCGGGACCCTTCCCCTGGCTTCCGGGCCCCTTGAGCAGACCCCAGGGTCCTGGCGGGAGGGGCCAGCTCTGCATGGCTCACAGTCACCTCTGCAGGGCCCAAACCAGGGTCTGGGTGATAGTTGAAAACGGGGGATCCCCTAATGGACGGGACACCTGAGCCTGAGGGGTGCACCAGCCAGCCAGGAACCCGAGAGGGGTGACCGCTCCAGGGAGGTAGAGACAGAGGAGCCTGAGCTTTAGCCAGCTGCAGGTCCCCACAGGGACGATGACACCATGGTGGCACCCACACAACGGGGTCGGCCAACAATGGCCCCCCCCCACTTTATCCTGACCATCAGGAATCCCCCCACGCTGGTGACACCCGGAGTGGATCAGACCCCTCTCGTGGAGGGAGGGATTCCTGGAGGTCTCCCGGAGGTCACCCAGGGGGGGACCCCAGCCTGGCGGGGCCTCTGGAGGCCTCCTGGGCGGTCCCTGCCCTCGGCTGGACACGGTGGCAGGACATCCATCATGCCAAGGTGCAGCCTCCACCTCGCAGGAGGGGCAAGAAGCTCCGTCCCCTGTCTGGTGGCCCAGTCTGCCTGCTCTCTGCCCAGGAGCAGGGCTCGAGGACCGCCTGGTTGGCTCAGAGTCCCCTCCAACACCCCCACCCCCGCCCTGCGCCCAGCACACAGAGGGCGGCGCCCTGGGCCTTCGTGGAACCCAAGTGACCACCTCACATGACTCCCTATTCCAGAGACAACCCGGATGACCAGGGAGGCCCCCAAGCCCGACAGGGTTTCAATTCTCTTTCTGGCTTGACCTCTTGGGGCCTATGAGTTTCACCCCCTGAGCACCCGGTGGAGGCCGGAACCAGCTCCTCAGGGTGAGGGAGGCCGGCGGCCAGCTGCTCCAGATCACTTTTCCAGGCTGTGGACCAAGGAGACCGCGTTCTGTTCTTGACCTTGCCGAGTTCCGGCACCGAGAGCGGCCCAGCACCACAGGACCCCTGAACTCACCCCACTCCTCCCGCAGACAGAAGGACAGGTGACTCCTGACCTGGGCCTCTTTTGCCACCGTGGCCAGGAGTGGCTCAGATGTGTGCCCACACTCCAAGATGGGGGGCTGTCCCTGCCTTGCACTGAGCATGGCATACAGCTGGCGCTCAGTAGATGTGCAGTGAAGGAGTGAACGTCAGCAATTATTTAGTGGAAAACTTTGGGAAGAATCCTGCTTCCTCTCAAAACCATGCCTGTGTGTGCACCGGGGACAGAGATGGCCGTTCCCATCCCCAGTGGTCTGGTGGCTCACGTCGTGACGTCCGGCGTCGTCTGGACCAGGCCTGTTGGATTCGCTCAGAAGCCGGGTCCCTGCAGAGGGAGGTGCTGAGGTCCCCCGCTGCCAGCCACCAGTCAGTGCCCGCCTCATTTAGCCTGGCACCTTGGTGGTCTTGCAGGGAGACTCCCCCTCTGATGGATGCGTGTGCCGGGGGGATACGGCTGAGGGCTGCCTTTCCTTCAAACGCGGCATCATTCCTCTTCCCTACTCCATGTCTGTTATGTGCCAGGACGTGGCCTTGGCACGTTGTAATTCCCGTTCCGCCCTCATGACAGCACTGCAAGGAGTCGGGGAGGTCTGGCTGGTCCAGAGGGGCAAGGCCCGTGAGGCTGAGCTGGGATTCGGACCTCAGAGGACCCTGCAGCCTGGGCTCTGTGCACAGTGGCCTGGGAATCTCAGAAGAAATCCCACCTTTGTCTCCACCCTCCTTGGTGTGGTGCAGGCACAAATACTTCAAAAAGTTTAATTTCTATCAGAAGAAATATCATGCAGGGAATGCCCTGTCTGCTCTACCCCTAACACCTTGCCAAGTCCCTGAGGCCCAGCCACTTTATCTGCTAAATGGGTACACCCCCCCCCACAGCCGCTCCCCAAGATTGTTGACAGAATCAGAGGAGAATGTGGCCAAAGGGGCACTTGTCCCGAGGTGTCAGAGGCCAGCATCAGCCTGAGAGATCCACCCCCCCACCCCATGTCCCTGCCCCGACAAGCAGCCTGGCCCCATCCCCCGCTCCACGGAGCCATCTCCCAAAATAAACCCGCCAACCCCAGTGAGCTCACCGCGGAGACTAAATATAGAGGGAAACACTCCCCAGCTCCCAGCTGGCATCAGCGTCTCCAAAACGCAGCCCAAACGGCTGGCTCCTAACTGGATCTGCGCCGTCCGTCGGGCAGCTTCACGCCAGGAGGCTGGGCAGAGTCGGGGGAGTCCTGGGTCCAGCGCCCTGGGGCCGCCCAGTGGCCGGGCAGCCACCCCCACCCCCGGACTCCTGAGGAGCCGTCACCGTATGGAAATGAGCATCCGTCCCGGGGAGGGTGCAGGGTGCCCGGGGCTGGAGGGGGTCCTACAGGGCAACCAGGCGGGTCCTGCAGAGCAGCGTGGGGTGGACAGGGAGGTGTCCGCAGGGGCCGCCGGGATGCTGAACCTTGGTGTCTCAGGAAGCCCACGTTAGGAGCGGCAGGAGGCCAGGGCACGTCCCCATCTATGAAATGGGGACGAGTGACACCAACACACGCAGCCTCACTGTCAACACACACTCAGCGAGACTGTCACTAGCCCCGAGGACACAAGAAGGAGCAACATTTTCCCTAAGAGAGGCTGCAGATGCTCCTTCAAAACAGCAGGCCAGCCAGCACAGGGGACGCGCCTGTCACCCCACAACCAGGGGGCTGAGTCTACTGAGGTCCCCGGAGGTGCCACCTCCAACAGGGGGGAGGTGGGACGGGGGGCAGCTGCTGTTGAAGGGGCTCAGGGCTTCATTTGGGGAAGATTAAAAACGCCAGGGAGACGGACGTTGGTCGTGGCCACAGAGCCATGGGACTGTATTGGACGTCCCTGAATGTCCCTTAAAGGCTGAGTTGGTAAGTTGGATGCTCTGGACACGATGCACAGGAAAACAGAAGGAAACGGTACGACAGAAACCCACAGAAAAGGGCTCCTCGGAGAAAGGGGGTGGGGGAGGGCGCGGGCAAGGAGGGGACCCCCACTTGCTCCTGTCTGGCAGGGAGCTCAGCCTCCGTGACACAGAGGCTGGCTTAACCGTAAGAACAATTTTTTTTTTTTTTTTTAATGTAACTGCACCAGGGATGATGAGGGCAGGGAGCCGCAGTCTTGCTTTCTGATGTCAACTTTCTAGACCGGCCATAAAGACAGACTCAGCTGCATCAACCTGCACCCTCTGGGGCGCGGGAATCTCAGAGCCTCAAGGTGCTGGGTGAGAAGGAGCCCGGGGTGCTGGCCGCTCTGGGGTTCCATGTAGGTGAGAATCCAGGACGTGTGAGCTCACCCGGGGGACCGGAGGCAGCTCAGTGGTGGCCGGAGGTGGGGTCCCGGGGGGCTCTTATACAGGGATGGAGGCAATCTGGAGGGGACACTGGTGTGCAGTGTCGCGGGTGACACACCGACCAGTCGTCCTAAAGTACCTGAAAGATGTGCCGGGTGCTGGGGCGGAGTGGCTATCCCGCCCACACCCCTCCAGGTGACAGTCCCCACCTGGGCACGTCTGAGCCAAGGCTGGGACCCAGGAAGTCCTGACCACCATCCATCCTGCCTCCCGAGAAGCAGCCACCGGAGACCCAGCTGCTCCTTATGAACAAGCTGGGCACAGAGGGTTCCCATGGAAAGTGCCGAGAGAGACAGGAGCAGGGGCAGTCCCCTCTGTGCCAGTGCAAGGGGCAGACACGGTGGCTATGTCCCCGGCCGTCCCTCCCTGGGCCAGGAGCACGGCTCCTCCTGCTCACCTGGAGGCTCCGCAGGCCCGCCCAGCTCGGCTCAGACTTTCTCTTGGAGACCCCTCCTGACCTCCCCTCCCAGACAGGACCGCTCCCTCCGCGACTAGCTGCCGTGGTCACCACCGTCACCACCCGTGATCACAGCCACCCGCTGGTGTCTGCAAGGGCTGGATCCAGGGTCCGCATCGGAGGATGCTCAAGTTCCCCGGATAAAGGGGCGCCCCATCTCCCTAAAACCTACCACCACCACCCCCCCCCCCCCGGAGTAGACCCAACCACCTCCAGACCACTACGGCAACGGGAATCTGTGCAAGTGTGTGCGCCGCCCTGTTGGGGGAGTGACAGGAACGGGAAGGTGTGCACACACCCAGGGCAGAGGGAACATTTTAGAAGCATTTTTGGCTGCTGTCGATCCAGCCCCAGGATGCAGAGCCCACAGACTTGGGGTGCCAAGGGTCCTCCGATCCAGGGGCTCCTCTTCCTAGCGCCACTGTAACATGGAGGATTCCTGGCGGCAGGAGCTGGGTCTTACGCGCCCATGGTCCCAGAGCCAACCAGGGTGCTGGAAATATGGTCCTTGCCTGGCAAATACCGACTGCGAACGGCAGTGATAAAACCCAAGGTTTAAACCAAAGACGGTTTAGACTGTCGGAGCCAAGAACTGGCTTCTGTCTACGGGAGAGAGACGTGAGGCTATTTCAACGTCTCGGGCCCTGGGGTCAGGCCAGGGTGAGCTTCCAAGTCAGCTGTGTGACCCCTGAGCAAGGCACTCACCCCTGGAGCCCTACGGCCTCCGTCCATAAGATGACACCAGGAGGTACCTCCAGGTGAGACTCGTCCCTGCAGACGCATGCAAAGCCTTGGCCCGGACAAAGCAGTTAGTAAATGCTCACTAAATGGGTGGGGTCGGCGTGGGAGTCTGTTGGGGAGACACGGGACCTGGACGGCTGGGGACCCACGTTATCAGAAGTCATCAGAGTGAACGAGGCGGGGCTGTGGGGTGGACCCTGGCAAATAGATGATTGGACTGATTTCTTGTTCTTGACCTCATGCCACTTATGAAAGACCCTCTTGTGTCTCAGCTGGACAGACCTGACTTTCAGGGACCATCAGACAAGATGTCACCCACCGGTCCCCCATGAGCCAGATTCCGTTGGAGCCGGGAAGGCGGATTCTAAGTTGTAAATCAGTTGCCAAAATTTGAAACGCAGAAAGACCGCGTGTTCAGTTCTGGACCTCCACCGCCCTGGGCAAATCAAAAGATGGGCCACGTTGGGCGCACAGTGAGAAGCACCGTCCGTCTGCTGCAGATGGGGTGTGGCTGTCCCCCGGCCCCGTGTGGCTGGTGCACCCCTTACCAGCCCGGCTCACAGAGCATCCACTGGGCAACGCCTGCCCGGGGAAGAGACGCGCCGGGGACAGTCTCATTGGCCAGGTCTGACGGCAGGTCGCTGCTGGACATCTCCAGGATGTAAAGACGCAGGCCAACAAATGGTCCCGCTTAATCATAAACCAACCGCGTCCTTGCCACCTCTCCCGGGAAAGACGGGCGGGAAGTCCATCACAGGTGACGGAGCGCGTCCGCCACACCTGGCGGAGGCCCTGGGTGCTGCGGTCCTTCTCCCTGAGCCCCGAGGACCTTCTGAGGGGAGGTGACGGCAGAGTCCTGGAGGGAGGCAGGAGCTGCCAGAGGACCTGGGTCTCCGAGACCTCTGATGACAAAGAGCAGCGGCCACTCCGGAGCTGGCCTGGCTCCCCCGGCACCTCCCGGGCCTCCCCAGGTCACCTGCGCCCCAGGCCGCAGAGCTCCCTGGTGGGGTCTAGTTCCCAGGGACACGGGGCAGACCCCTTCTGAAAACCTGTCACCTGGGAATGGGTCCAAGCTTCCGAGGCCGACCCGCTACTTCTGTGATTTCTGCCATGTTTTTACGCCACCTGTATACTAACTGGAGCGTATCCTTCAACCAACTCCTGACACCGTGGGCTGGGCCCTGGGCGCCTGGGGGATGATGATGATGATAGCGCTGACCTCAGACAGAGGTGGCCCCCTGGAGCCTCGAGAAGGGAAGTTCCCCTATCGCCTAGCGCTCTGGACCGCGTCTGGCCAGAGAAAGGCTCACACGCATCATTTATGTGTTATCTATGGACAAAACCAGTATGGCTTGCCACGTTAATTATGTGACAATTAAAAGCAAACAAAGTCATTTACGTCACAGCCGAATGGCGCTGGGAGACCCCCGCTGTGAAGAGGCCTCTCCCGGGCCCTTCTCCTGAGTGGGGGGGACAGGAGCCGGCCACTCGGGAGTCCACCCCCTTCCAGTTCTGACTCTGGCCAGGATCTGCCCACTCAGGAGCCTGGGGAGGGACAGCTGGAACCCGGGTGGGGGGGGGGAGCCGCAGGCTGTGGGGGAGGGGAGTCCACATTCCAGAAGGATCTGCTTCTACAAAGGGATTAACAGCTTTAAATAGCAGCTTAAGCCTTGTTTATGGGGAACTAAAGACTCACTGGAGAGGCGCAGGGGCCCCCAGGACGGGAGGGAAGGCCCGAGTTGGCCCAGCCAGGAAGGAGAGGGGCTGTGGGGTGATCTTAAGATGACCCCAGACGTCAACAGGGGAAGATTCCGGAAAGAGAAGGATGAGATGCCATGGCAGGTCCCCTCCAGGACTCTGCTGACCGCCATCACTGAAGAGGAGGGCATCTGTACCCACAGCGGTGTAGAGCGCTAATCCAGCCCCTGTGTTCTCCAGGCCCTCCTGTCGGAGCACTGGGGACTTATTTAACTGAAGTGCTCACAAGACTCCGGGCCTGTGGGGCTCCTGGTGGGGTGACCCAGTGAACAGCTATCATTTGGCAGATGAGGAAACCAAGGCTCAGAGAGGGAGAGGACTCCCCTCGCAGAATGAGCCTCCTGACCCAGGAAGCAGGCACTGAGGTTAGATTATAAAAGGTAGGAGTGATGGGGGAGAGGAGAATTAAAAAAAAAAAAAAAAAACAGGTAGAAAGGAGACCTAAAGGACAGAGGAGGAAATGTGATTCTAATAAGACCTATTTTCAAGCTCTGTCACTTCCAAATATCTGGGAAATCTGTAAATCTACCCATCATTGTTGATTAGACCACCAATAAGTAAAGAGAAACCTATAATTTGGGGAACCTTCCGGCTCTGCCTATTAATTAGGTAATGAACACCTCATCGGCCAAGGGACCCTGAGAAAGGCCACCAGAACCTGTCTTGAGGCCACCAGGCTGATGTCATCCGCTCACACCTTCCTGCGCCCACCCCTCACCTGGGACCCCCACTCCCTCCTGGACATCCAGGCTCCCTGTGTCAACCTGCCTGAGCCTCCACTGACGGGGCCCCCCCTCTCCCTGGGACTCCCCGGGACCCTCCCAGGGTCGGGGACAGGGAGGGTCGGCCAAGGGTGGAGGCAGCTGTGGAAACAGAAGGGACACCGCGTCCAGGTGTGCCCACAGCCAGGCCTGGCCTGCAGAGAGCCCACTGTCTCCATCACCAGCCCCGGGGCCTGGGCTCTGTCCCCTCCTGAGGGCACCCACTGGCCGCTGTCACAACCTGCAGAGCCCCACCTCCTCCTCCCAGGCAGGGCCCAGGGCCTGGGAGCAGATCAGCGGGAGCTGGCCGCAGTCTCTCCTGGACGCTGCAGCCACCTGGGAGCTGCCCTCGCCTCCTGTCCCCCCTTGAAACACGGCCAGGTGAGCGCTCCGGCGGGAGGACGTGATGGCCCAGGCACCTCGGCAGCTCTCAGGGCGGCCAGGGAGGGCTCCTTGGGAGCAGCGGCTGCCGGCAGAGACCACTGCCCTGATCATGTCCATCGCCGCCTCCCCGCGGCCAGCGCTGGCTCCGCTGTCCTTCCCCAGATGAGCGCCCTGGGGCCCGCAGGCACCGGGTCCAGCACCTTCCCCAGCACCCAGGGGCCTGTCTCTGTTTACACCCCATTTCCCTCGCCCCCGGGGGTCCTGAACCCGGGGCACAGGGGTCCGCAAAGCCGGGAGCCGAAGCCCCCTCCCTCGCCCACACCCAGCAGCAGGCGCAGAGGCCACAGGTCGGAGTCCTAAGCCACCACGGATCCGCTAAGCCCCGCCCCCACGAGCACCCCGCATTATGAACCCACCGGGGGGCTTCCAAGTGTTACTAGGGGGGTCACAGAGGGGGGAGCGAGGCCGGGAGGGGCTGGGGACCAGAGCCAACGTGCTCCCAAGCCGCCACTCAGGATGGCCTCTCAGGAGGTGGACGGCCAGCGCCGTGAGGACCA